GACTGCAGGGCTAGCATGTCAGCTCTACTTTATTAAGCCCAACAAGGACCAGACCAGCAACTCTGAAGTTGCAAGTGCAATATTCTGGCCAGAAGGGGCGGTGGGGGTGTGAGTGACATTCCATTACCATGTAAAGGGTAATTTTAGCACATGCTGGCTCAATAAAATGATTTAAAAACATGAAAATGTTGATGTGAATAAGTTTGCACATCTCTGTCATCATTTCTTTCGTGCATTTGAAAGGTTCTGTTTTGACAGACTGAGCAGACCCTGACTCATGGTGCCCTGATCAGTGTACACATCACTTTTTTCAGTACCTAAGGTCCGTGTATCATGTTTTCATCTGATTCCTATGAAACACAAAAGTGGCAAACAGTAGCTGTACTTAGATGCAGTAAAACACTTCATCTTTGCTCATTACTTCTTGCATAGGCGAGTCCAAATTTGAAACTGGCAAATTTAATTATTTTCCTCCCATGGAGATTATTGTGACTGATTATTCTTTCAAAATTTAATTATTTCGACAATACAGGCAAGCTTATTATTGTGGGATGTCTTCTCCTCCCAGGCAGGAAACAACTTATGTGGAAGACGCAGAGCTTTCAAAATTATTCCAAAAAACAAGGACGCAAACAAACAGCAGCACAAAAAAGTGTGACAAAGAAAGTTGGCAAAACCATGTAATTCAGCCATGAGAAGCACAAGTCGTTTTCAAAGTTCATATAACTATATAACACAAGACCACTGGTGTGATTTAAAAGTTAGCTTTAATTGAAGATCCATCCATTTTCAGCCACTAATCTGGTGTCGGGTCGCGGGGCAGCAGCCTAAGCACAGAAATCCAGACTTCCCTCTCCCCAGCCACTTGGGATAGCTCCTCCGGGGGAATCCTTAGGCGTTCCCTGGCCAGCCGTGAGACGTAGTCCCTCCGGCATGTTCTTTGGCTTCCCTGGGGTCTCCTCCTGGTTGGACATGCCCAGAAAACCTCACCAGGGAGGAGTCCAGGAGGCATCCTGACTAGATGCCTTAGCCACTTCAACTGGCTCCTTTCAATGTGGAGGAGTAGCGAATGTACTCCAAGTCCCTCTTGTATGACCAAGCTTCTCACCTTATCTCCAAGGGAGAGCCCATTTCAGAATACACAAAAGAATGTTGTCGCTTGTACCCGCGATCTCATTCTTTCGGTCACTACCCAAAGCTTGTGACCATAGGTGAGGGTAGGAAATTGAGAGCTTTGCCTTCTGACTCAGCTCTCTCTTCACCACAACAGATTGGTACAAGGCCCACAGCAGACGCAGCACCAATCCATATTTCCCTCACTTGTAAAAAAGACCCCAAGATACTTAAACTCTTCCACATGAAGCAGGACCTCATCCCTGACCCGGAGAAGGCATTCTACCCTTTTCCAACACAAGACTATGGTCTCTGATTTAAAGGATCTGATTCTAATCTCAGCTGCTTCAAACTCGGCTGCAAACATTAGGTTTAAGCCATTCTGATGAAGTCAACAGGACCACATCATCTGCAAAAAACAGAGATCTGATCCTTAGGCCACCAAAACGGATCCCCTAGAAATCCCTAGAAATCCTGTCAAGTTATGAACAGAACTGCTGACAAAGGACAGCCTTGGCGGAGTCCAACTCTCACTGAGAATGAGCACAAGTTGTTGCCGGCAATGTGGACCAAGCTCTGACACCATTCATACAGGGACCTAAAAAGCCCATATCAGAGGGTCTGGTACCCCATAGTCCTGGAGTACCCTCCCGAGGGACACAGTTGAACGCCGTCTCTAAATCGGTTGGGTGAACTTCCAAGCACCCTCCAGAACTTTTAAAGACCAAAAGCAAACAATGATCATAAAATGTTGTGAATCAAATGTTAACATGATTGTTAAAAAGAAAAAGAAATTTTATTTTTACCTGAGAAATTGTACAGATGGGCCTTTGCAACACTGCACCTTGAAATGAACTGGATAAAAGATACAATAATCTGAACAGGCTGGGGCCTCATTTATCAAGCTTGCTTACGCACAAAACGGGGTCGGAAAACTGCATAAGCAACTTTACACGCAAACTTTGGGATTTATGAAAGAAAACTTAGCGGAAATATGTGCACAACTTTAAGTTGACTAAGGACCTTGCTTACGCGCATGTTGGACATGGAGAGCACCTGCAGTGCTGCTGCTGAGAAGGATACAATTATGAAATCCTGCAGCATTATCACTTGTACTGCTTCGTTTTCACACAGAACAAGACTACCCACACGCGTGCGCGCACACACACACACACACACACACACACACACACACACACACACAGCCTGAAGCGCAGAATACGGAATGCAGAATATCAGCAGGGGGACAGATTGAGACAGAATGTCATGCGTCTGTGACAGTGTGTGTCCTGTCACTGTGACCCACTTGATCATGCGCCCTGGCTACTTGGACAAGGGAGATCTCTGTTTGGGTGACTGGTTAGCGTGCATGACTTTCACCTGTGAGTCTGGGGATTAAATCCCGATTGGACTATTTTTCATATCCGCCACAGATCTCTCTGAAGAACTCACAACATTGACGGCTTCAGCAACGCTGTGCCACTCCGTGGATTTTCTCTCATTTGTTTTGCAAAAGTACTTCCTTTCATTTCTCCACCTCACCCACAAGTACCTCAATTTCTGCTTCTGTGAAATTGCACTTCCTTGATCTGCCTTGATCTACGGTCACCATGTCATTGGCGGAACGCTGCAACAGTCGGCTTATGTATATGCATGAGGTCCACAAGGCACTTTGCACTGACTATTTATGGCAGTAAGTGGGCGTGGTGAGGGCGGGATGTGACTAAAAAGCAGCTGAGAACCTTTCTAGATAGTTTCTGATTTATGAAGTGGAGATTGCGTGCAGCTGTGCGTACTCCATGTTTGATAGATCACAAACCTACTTGGCGTAAGTACATTTATTTTAGCTTAAGTACGGTTTTAGTAAGGATTCTACGCAATGTTTGATAAATGAGATCCCAGAACATTAAACACACTCATGATCTTGAAGATAATGGTGTCCATCATTTACTTTAAATTTGACTACTTAGGTTAAAGAAAGTTTACTTTTGGTATTCTAAGTACTGGAAGAAACGAAACTAGATGACAGCTTGGACATTTTATCAGAAAAAGCAGCAGTTATGTGTTGGCATCACCCAAAGGACTCGTGTGTAGAGGAAGCTGAGAGCATCAGATATGATCAGTAGTGCAGACAACATAATAAACCTAATGTGGAATTATGATGTCTGAACCAGAGGACGTACCTGAGTTCATCTTTAATGAGAGTCTAATCACAGATGTAGACATCATCAATTTTACTTTTGATAACAGTGGACATAATTAAGGGAAAAAAAGGAAAGTATAGCATTTGAACGCCAAGAGCAATCTAGATCAGGTACATCAAAAGTGTTGCCCTCCAGCAATTTTGTGTGACAAATGTATTTCTAGAATAACAAATTTGTCTCTCCATCAGGATTTTGATGTAGATCAACATTTTTATATTACAGTTTTAACCAATATGTCTATTTTGGACCTTAAATTAAATTAAATTAAATTTAGTTTATTTACATAGCACACACACACAACATGTATACCAAGTAGTGTTTCTATGGCTACTTTGTGATTTCTTAGTAGATATTTTATTTTGTAAGAGAAAAACTTTATCATCTTTATCTTAGTGAATCTATTATTAATTCAGCAGGTAAACTAGTAGTAGCACATTCCATGTCAAAATGTTATTTTCAGGAGATGGAGAATGTTAAGTGTGCAGCAGTGTGCTAACCGATGCCCCCC